GATTCATCTGTGTTTATTCAGCAGTAACATAGCTGCCCTCCAGATGCTTTGTCCCTCACTACAGCAGCACGCATCATCAAGTACACTTGAATATATGAGTGCTCACCAACTCGATGCAGATAAAGCGATAGCACAGAGGCTGAGCAGGGAACAGACGAGGCTTGCCGGCGAGAGCAGGGGCGAATCGGGCAGACCGGTACAAATGATGAGTGTAATGAGATTTCATAGCAGCCATCGGCGGTGATTAATCCCACATCTCCACCGAACCAGGTGTGTGTGCACAGAGAGAATACACACACAGTATGAGGAAGCAACAGAGGAAATGAAAGACGAGAAGAAGCAGAGATCGAGGTGGACGGAGAAATCCCTCAAGTCACAAATACAAGCACAGACGCATAGCTCTGCTAAATAAAATCAGATGGGATGAAATGTCTGTAAAGAGCTTTCTTTTTTTATGCCTCATAAATGACTTCCTGGGTACGGGATTAAAAACTCTTCCATAGAGAGTCTGCGGCAGTCAAAGAAGTTGACACAGGGAGGTTTAAAGAGTGGATATACTTAAAGAAGGAAGCATTATTCATCCCTTTTTAACAATGTGACCTTTAATGTGTGTTTTTTCTCTGCAACTTAAGATGAATGGAACTTTAAAATCCAATACAGCACCATGCATTATCAGTTCAAGAGGTTATCAAGTTACTATCAATGATTTAGGCCCTCATTGATTATACAGCCAGCCATTTAGAAAAACAACATGGTCAAAATGTAGACTTATTGCCTTGTCCTTATGCCTGGATTTCCAATCATTGAACAGAAATGTCCACAGCAACGCTTTGTACTGTGGCCCCACATGTGGCTGCTGCCCACATCAGTCGGGTTGGACAGATGAAAGCCAGACTTCAGTGGTGATCATGTCACAGCATTGATCTGAATGTTTCTGTGTGCCCCAGGGCCAGCGATGACCCTGAGAAAACCAACACCACCTACGTGGAGGAGTCTCAGCCCACCCATGGTAAGAGAAAAAAGGACAATGAGGAAGAAAGGAAGGGAGGGGGGGGGGGGGATAAGGAAGCAGATAAAAAAAAAGGCAAGTAACCGAGAGAGGGAGGAGTAATGGAGATTGAGGGATTGGATTGATGGAAGCAGGGATATTTGTATCTCGTCAGCACAAAGTGTAACGTCCATTGCATTACAATATTGCGATCTCAACCCAATGAGTTTAAGTAGCTGTGCCGCTCCTGGAACACATTTTGACATTTTGGGACCAGTAGATGCACTCAGATCTCAGATACAAATGATTTAGTAAAGGAAAGTATCCATTTGGCACCAAACTGCTTTTGTCAGGCTTTTTTTCTTTCATTTATTTTAGTCAGCAGTTTGTCATATTACCAGTCACTCTCTACAGAGGTGTCTGAACATCAGAGGCTTCACTTCACTTATAGTCAGTGTAAAGGGCTTACATGGAACATATTACAATTTCTTTTCTTGTATGATATTATGCCTTTTATCACAGTTGAAAGTGATGAGGAATGGCATGCAACACTAACCCTAACACCTGAACCCCTTGATCACCACATGGAACACCCATTTACGACAGACTGAAAATAAGTCTTGTAAATCCTGTCACATATCAACTAAAACTTCTATTATGTGGTCCGAAGTTCACATACAAAATGTGAGCTAAACAAGAGTAGGAGTGTGTAATATATATATATATATATATATATATATAGATAGATATTTTATTTATTGGGATAAACCCCTTGAGATGCACCATTTCGTTTTCAAGGGGATCCCGACAATAGCAACAACTTACAGACATACATAAACAAAAAGCAAAACATGACACACAAGACAAACCACGTACAGTCTGTTAAGTAAAATTCAAGTAATACATACAATCATTACAATCATTCCAATTTGAGAGACAGTCGAGCAAATCAGTTTCATCAATAACAAGTGCAGACCAGTTGAAAGTGAGATGATAATGCATGTTTAAACATACCCAATGATGCAAGAGATCTAATAGCAGCAGGTAAAGTATTCCAGTCTGTTGGGGCTTTGAACATGAACGCTCTTCTGCCAATCGATTTTTTTGCAGAGGGGACAGAGAAATAAATCTGGAAAGAGTGTCTAACTTGATGATTTGGCTAGTAGGGTACAAAATACTGCTTTAAATAAGGGGGATAGTTAAGATAAATGCATTTAAATATCAGCTGAAGCCAATGTGTGTGTCTTCTTACATTTAATGAAGGCCATTTAAGTTGGTTATACATTGTGCAGTGATGTGTACGAAAAGGACAACCAAGGTTCTACCTCTATGGTAGAAGATCTGTGAGGCTTTACTGCTAATATGCTAACATTAGCATGAGTAATGTTTAGCATTTTAGATTAGCCTAAGCATGTGAACGTTTGCTAACTTGAACTAAGCACAAAGCAGAGATCTCTGGTTTAAAGCAAAAATAATCAAAGTCAATTTGACCAGTGAAACCTTGAACTGTTTAAATATGTTTAAATATTTCACTGAATGAATGAAATTGTTGACTTGCTGGTGAAGCTTGGGGAAAGTCAGGAGATCATCAGTCAGTAGGCTTCATCCTTTTAGGTAACATGAATGCTGTTGAGATATTTAGGTCTGGCTTAGAGAACTAGTTGAGCTGATAAAAGTCACATTTACTTTAAGAACATTACAATAAAAATAGAATAATGTCTTGAACACTAACAATGACATCTCGATCTTCCTATACGCGCGTTTCTATTTAATTAACCGTCTGCCTCCCCTGTCTTTTTTCCCTTGTTCTCCGGTAGAAATCATCATCAGGGTGGATGAGTCCGAATGCATGTCAATGGCCAGCTTTCACGACCAGGAGACCGAGCGCTTCCTCTCCACGGAACAATGGGCCGTCGCGTCTCCTTCAATGAGGCTGCGCTCTTCGATCATGGCAAGAAGGCCCAGGAGAAGGGCCGCAGGTTAGAAAGCCAACATACACAGAAGCCCACGTTTGCTATTTTTATATCAGTGTTTAACCTTCTTTAATATCCATTCACTCCAGCTCCACTGCTTTCTGAGATCAAATAATTTCACATTTAACTGTGTCCGTCTCTCTTATATGCTGGTTAAGGGACGGGTTAATAATGAATTCAGAATGCATTATGTATGTTACGGGCACAAGGAACTGTCCCCTTTCCCATTATTTCCCTGCCCTGCTTTTCTCTTAGAGCCCTGAGCATGATATGCAAATGCTTCAAAGGGATTCAGTGTTGCTAAATGCAGAATCCAGTTTAGCTCTGATCGTTCTGAAGTCAGATATTCCCCCTGTGTCTTTTTGCCTCTTGTGCAAGGATGAGCTTCATGATTTAAGACTTATTGAGAGTGCATGCAACTTATGGCTAATCTTAAGAGGATTTAAAAAGGCCCTATTGTGCTTTTTATGGGGGTTCTAGCGATATCACTATGTAACACTTGAGCTTCTATTGGCTAGCGCTTAAACATATTGTATGTCGTTGATATCCTGGCTCCAAAATGATGGATTCGAGCTTCCTATTGATATCAGGACAGAGAGTCTCCACACATTCCGCCGCAGACTGAAAACTCACCTGTTCGACTGCATCTTTGCTAACAAATAAATAAATAATCTTCTGTATGTAGCACTTGCAAAGGATTTGGCTTTACGTGAAGCTAATGCAGTAGCACTTCATCTGGTTGGGCTTATAGATATGCAATGTACCTGCAGGATTCTTGCTTTTGAGATTTTTCTTAATGGTTGAATGCACTTATTGTAAGGGGCAGGCCATCTCATAGCAATTGACCAATCACAACAGAGCCGGCCACCAAACAAATCAGAGCAGACAGAAAATAAAGAGCTTTTTGAACATTAAAGCATGTAAACATGTCACAGTAAAGTAACAAAGTACTAAATATGAACCTGAAAATTAGAATAAAATGTCCTCTTTAATTGAACTCTATGTTGTTCTCCTCAGGTACACTCTGACCGAGGGCGACTTCCACCACCTGAAGAACGCCCGGCTCACACACCTCCACATCCCTCCCCCCGCCCTCAAGATAGTCACCATCCACGAGTGCGATTCGGCCGAGAACAGCATCACCATGACGACTCGCCCTGTCGCTAAGTCGGCACTTTCCATCTTCCAGGTGACAGCCTCGAACCTGCTATAGTCCTAATGCATCGTTATTCTTGACTGGGGTCAATTTGAACATCAATCACTCGGGACGGGGCAAGAAGATGAATCAACAACCCTAATGTAGGCGCATGTGTAGCCAAACAGAGGGATCAGGCAACAGGCTGAGCACATTGATTTCACATTTAGGTGTTCGAACATTTGTGCAAGGATGACAGCTGAGATAGGATCGCAACTTGATATTTATATTTATTTAAACATGAAGAAAAAAATGGGAATAGATTTATAGCACCGATTTTGAACAAGTGGGAAAAACATTAGAGCTCTGTAAAAGAGATGCATGTTCAAGAATGTATTCATGAAGAGTAAAAGTGAAATGTCCTTGTCCTTTGTATCCTACAGCCGATGCTGTGCCCCCTACCACAAACTGCGCTGATCAGCCTGAGTGTCAATCCCAGCTGTGCCCTCCCTGGAGATGCTCTGAACTCTGTGGTGAACACCAGCTTCAGTGAGAACACTATCGCTCTCGGCACCAAAGAGCCAATAACCAGCTCTGTAAGTTACCTCCAACTACTGTCACATATATTGCATCAAGTAATAAATACTAGTCACAATTTTGTTGAAGAAATGTCTTAGAAAAGTAGGCCACACAGTGAATCTCCTGCTGTCAGTCATTAAAACAAGAAAAGTGAGTCTGCATACAAATCGCCTGTTAGCGCTCGTGTTGTGGAAAAATGCAGTTCATAGGTCAAAATGAACTGTGTTGAGTTAATAATTTGTAGAGTGCTGCATTTTCTCAAGAAAGTACACCAAACGGCTATTCGAGCCAGTCATCCACAGGGACATTATGGGGTCACGGAGCCCGAGGGAGGACCAATGACAGTGATGTTTGATGGGTAAACAAGGAAGCCTGTGTGGGACATCACTGCCAGAAGGGATTACACACACACACCACAGGTCACGGCAGTTTTCTTGCTGACGCGTTTCTCCCTCTGTCTCTCAGATCGAGATGATGGGAGCGGGGCCCCGGGGCCGAGGCAGCAGTGTCAGTGTTGGAGAAGGGGCCTTGGTGAGGAGTGGGGGTTCCCCTTATGCGGCAGGAAGCCAGGGGCCTGTGCTGCAGTTCTTCACTAGACTGCGGCGCCATGCTAGTCTGGAGGGGGCAAGTCCCTACTTCAAGATCAAGAAATGGAAGCTGGACAGCAGCCAGAGGGCCTCGAGTCTGGACACCAGAGGTAATGGATCCTTGATAGTGTAAAAAATATGTTTAGAAACAATCTGTGCCAGAGCAGGGAAGTGCAACACTTAAAAAAAAAAAACTGAGAAAATAAAGTTGAAGTCTTGGCAGTTTTATTTCTTTCATGTATTTCTCTATTTATATGTGTGTTTTAGTATTTTGGGCAAGCTCCTCTCTTGGTTAAGCAGGAGGCTCCAGGAACCAACTGTGCGATGCCTTTCTGTTGCTAATACTGGGATATACACACAGACACACACACGACCAAGACAGATGGCTCAGGGACGTAAAGTTTCCTCGTTCTGAGTCAATTTGAGCCCCCGAGTAAATCCTGCCGGCAGATTCCCTTCATTCTATATATACACAATTCCTCTTTGACGATACTTAAGGGACCAAAAAAAAGATCACAAAATCCCCTCTGAAACCTCAACAAGCTTTCTCCTGAATTAAGTGTCACTTCACTCCTGTCCGCTGTGACGCAACTTGTAAAGCTCACTGCTCTCTTCCCCCATGTTTGTCGTGAGCCAGGCTCCCCGAAGAGGAGACATTTCCAGCGTCAACGAGCCGCCAGTGAGAGCATGGACCAGGAGGACAACGACGCGCACCACATAGACCTCATCCAGTACATCGCCCACACAGGACCTCCCCTACTGTCCCAGCAGCCACCCCACCACACGCCTCTCTCACCTCCTTCCACACCACCCCCTTCCCTCGGCAGGTATCTTTAATTCCCTTGCCATTCATCCTGCTCACTGCTTTGCTGCCTTGCACTCATTTCTTTACCCTAGCTAGAAAATGTTTATGATAACGATATTACACAGTTAGATGAGCTCTAAGTCCCATTCTTCAACACTCTTCCCGTACATAAAAGAGTCCCTTTTATAATCTCGATAAAACACCATTGCAAAATAAATCAAAGTGGTTGTTTTGACAAGCCAGTTGATGTGCAAATGTAAACTATCAGTATCCAAACGATTGAAGGTTAGGTTATTTTTCTATTTTAAATTGAGGAAATCGTGTTTAAAACAGCGAGTTTGTCCTTTTTTAGACAAATTGTATTGTTATCACAGGAATCTACATTCAAACACAACATGCTGTGTAATTGTAATCCAACACAGGCTTATCTGTGTGTAATGAGATCCCTGTAAACAAGAACCACTTGAATGATTTGGAGCCAGATGTAGGGGATTCCCAGAGTGCATTTCTTTTAGAGATTGAAGTGGAGAATCGGGACGCAGAGTTTATTTTGGCATAGGAAATCATTCCACCGCTGACATGATCCGATAATGTCATGATGTCGAAAGACCGCAAAGGTCACTGCAATTCAGTTATTTTAAGAGCGCAATTCAAGCAATGGAGTTTAGTTCAATATAGGGTTATGCAGCGAAAATAACCAGTTTCCTAAGTACTTTCTTATATAATGTTTTTTCCCTTTACGAAATGTTATTTTAAACAAAAGCAGCATTTCCTGTGTTTTTTTTTGCAGATGATTGTTGTTGATTGTATTGCTACTGATATAACTTGTGTTCTTTAAATCTGCTGACTATAATGAAAGCAAGGGATTTCTAGGAAAGTATGGTCATGCATGGCATCAGTATTCAGCAGCTAAGTTCAGTCTAAGGACATGCAACAGCAGCCATTGCAAGTCATGAAAACCATTGTGTGCACTGTGAACACAGCCATGTGTCAGCTGATTGTGATATTCAGGCAAATACTCCGACACTGACAGTTGTTTTTTGCGAATGTGTGTGTTTCTCCCCTTCCTTCTCTCCTTACTATTTTCATTGTATCTCTCCACACCTGTGTGCACACTACAGGGTAGAGGTGGAGGTGATGGTGGAGGCCAGCTGCAGCCATGGCGGACCAGGGGTGATTGGCCTATCCCCTGATCCCCAGGATGAAGCACTGTCCCTATCAAGAAGGGAAGGTGCAGACCCTCTGGACCCGCCAGATCCCCAGGATGAAGCGCTGTCCCAATCAAGAAGGGAAGGTGCAGACCCTCTGGACCCGCCAGATCCCCAGGAACCCCAGTCCCTTTACAAAGACATCTGGAGCCTTCGTGCAACACTGGAAAAATACGCCGCCTCCGACCACAGCAGCAACAACGACAGGAACTCCGTCTGCAGCGATGTGGAGAGTGTGTGTTCTCTGGGGGGGCGCACAGAGAGAGGAGGCTCCCCAGCTACCCATCCCAGGAGTTAGGGGATGAGGCAGAGGGTGCAGAGGACATTTCAATGTTTATTGATGAGAGGTTGGAGGTGAAAGAGGGAAGAAAGAGGAAACAGGGAAGCACAGACTCGGAGCGAGGGAGCAGCGATGGAGAAACATCGACTCGTAAACTGCTGCAGATGGACAGCGGCTACACGTCGATAGAGGCTCCGTGTCGCGGTCCAGAAGACTTGCGACTGTTTGGGAGCGCCAGCAGCAGCCCGAAGGACAGAACAGCCCACGAGAAAAGGCACCACTTTACCAGCGCAGGGCGAAGTGGCACTATCGGTGAGAGCTTTGAGTCTCACCACTTTGAGGAGGAACCGGAGGATGAGAGCTTGTTGGGTGCCAGTGGCGGAGTTTCCATAGAAACAGGTGCTAGTTCACTTAGCTGGTTACCGTACGGTCAGATTCTCACACCTCGAGAGGCTGCAACGCCTTCGCCTCAACCGCTAATGCTGATGCGGCGAGACTACAGCATAGATGAGAAGACGGACGCCCTCTTCCACGAGTTCCTCCGTCACGACCCTCAGTTTGACCAGCAGGAGTCGCCGCAGAGGAAGCACCGCTCACGGATTCACCTCCGCCAGCAGTGGCAGCGGCACAAGCAGTGGAGCGACCCGGGTGTTAGGTACTTCCAGACCTCTTTTGAAAGACAGAGAACCCCGCTACGGAGGGGGACAGTGTGAACTACCCTCTGGACACGAGCTACCACAGCACACTCCCCCGCATCGTCAGCGCTCCTGACGAGGAGGCCAGCGACAGGACGGGCAGCACACCCGACACGCCAAAGGTTGAGCCTCCGACTGCTGGGAGCGGGGGAAAAACAGGGAGCAGGGTGTCACCGAAATCACATCCTCTTCTCCACCCCTTGTGATCTCTCCCTCTCGGAGCAAGATGGAGGGCAGGTTGAGCACCACGACCCTCAGGAGGACAGCAGACAGTCCGGACTCCCTCCTGATCCCCCGGACTCCCTCTGGCTCCTTCAGGCGCCCGACTCCCCAGGCCACGGCCCGCAGACCATCACAGCAGAGCTCACGGACAAACTGACTGCTAACCTGGGCGAGAGGCTGTACATGGGCCTGCGCAGGGCCAGGGACACAGCCGCTGAGTGTGTGACGGTGACGGCCACACACACTTCTCCGGACCACAGCCCAGTGTAGCAGGGCTCCAGCCGCCCTCCTCGTCACTCCTGCTGAAACAGCTTTTTCTTTCCGTTTGATTTGTCCCGACTCAGTTTACATGTCATTGTCAGCTTGAATGGTGTGATCCAGACCCATAAACACACAATGGAAATGTCTGTCTGTCTTCATATCTGCTGTCATTAAATGTTCAATGTTGCCATTTTACTAAGCTAACTTATCAAAAAAAATCTATTAGTAATAGTTGTGTTCATTGATTGTTTTCTGTCTCTACTGCTGCCTTCTTGTCTCTGCTCTCCAGTATTAATAAGTGAAGCTGAGGGCCAACATGGCCTCTGTACTTGTTGATCCACTGTGAAACCAGGTGCTATTAGATGAGTAGAAACCTAGAGATCTGGACGCAACAGCTGGTCCCATGATCATGCATTGGTGGAAAATAAGTATGTGTATCACTATTCATGAGCTAAAAATGACTCCATTGATGATTAATCAAGTCTTGTGAGACCAACAGCTAGTTGATCACACTAGCTGTTTAGATGAGTCGTTCCGACCAGGTGGCGGTCTTAAGAGAAGTCTGAGATAATTTAAGTTATTTATTATTTCCTTTGTACACGAGGAATTAGTATTTATTTTTATCATTGTTTGGTTGTGTCCTAGGCTATAGGAGCAGTTGTAAGGCCATTGAAGTCAGTCTGGAGGAAGCCATGATAGCAATTTCTAGGCACACTAACATTGATTTTATTAAATAGTTGTTATTTCCATAAGTTGGGCCTTGACAGCAACCCTGTCCCAGCTTTGTCAAACTCTTCCATACTTGTGGGCCATGTTTTTAAAAGTAGCTAGTTATCTAGCTTTGTTGGAGATGACATCCCCATTTTGTATCCGCCTACAAAGCTCGATTGGTTGATGGTTATCCCCATTGTGTGAAAAGGTTGTTAAGTGATTTTTGATTCAAAACTAGACTTTGCTTGATTTAAGGGGTAGCTGAAAAAGGTTGGGAACCATTGGGTTTAGATATATACACATAATACAGTTAGAAAATGCCAGGAAAGTTAACATAAAGTGTCACTTTTGTCTTCATTAAGTGGGTCTGACTTGTCATGATGTTGGTTGTTTTTGACTGAAAATGCATCTAAGCTATGTGAAAACTGTTGAATAAGTTGTATAATATATTTTGGTACATGCATTGCTGAAATGACAATGTAAACTGATTGGCAGGTCTGAAGAGGACAGGTTAGGACTTAACAAACCAGACAGCCACTTGCACTTGGGTATGATCTTCATCAGTCACAGAGATGACATTAATCTCCATGAACTATGACTCTTAGTGCTTTAGGCATCACTGACATGAGGCGAGCAGTTACATTACAGCTTTTAGACAAGATGGCTGGCCCTCACAGACATTTGGTGTCAATTTGTAAGAAAGGCATGCTTTCTGTGCATGGGCTCACAGAACAGTCTTCATTTATCCGCATCTGACATTCTTGTTTTCTCCTCCTCTCCCTCTTCTCCTGAGAAAGTTGACAGTGAAGTAGATGCCTCCCTCGGGGGCCGAGGACTTCACTTCCTGCCAGCTTATAAAACCAGGGCTGGAACAAAGATGTGTTTGTTGTTAGGTCCACTTGGTTTGTTTTTCTTTCTCTTTTTTGGCTTCCTCTGGCGATTTAAAAAACAACCACTACTCTGCCACTCAAATGAAGCCCCAATAACAGATGATGTCTGTGGGCAAAGAATGATGTTGAAAACCCACTTTGCTCACAGATCTTAGTTTTCACATCCTCAGCAGTAGCAGCAGGTTGATTCTCGCTCATAAACCATCGATCTCAGAGGGGCTGTTGGCTTTCCGTTTCTCCCACGTGCGGGGAGGGGAGCCACTGCTGAAGATGGTGTTGAATACTAATCAAAACGAGAAGGATTTCCACCTTTCATCCCCCTGCCTCCCCTTCCTCGTTGTTTGAGGCTATTACCATGCAGTAAATTGAAATCACTGCATAGAAAATCAGGGGAGAAAAACATTATCCGCCTCTCTTTGTCTGGGTGTGATGATGCTCCTTCCCAGCCCTGCATAGATTAGATCTCTCTTGGCAGCGTGACAGGAGTCTCCTCTTGTGGCTAAGTGCGGATGCTGCGGTTCCTCATTAGGAGGGGCAGTGACTGAGATGAAAGGGGGGTGAACTCAAATAAGGAGTAGAAAGTGATTTTTCTTTGGATCTCTCCGTTTCCTTCACGCAGGCTCCCCTCCGACACACATTATTTCACCATGAAGAAACACAATGTGCTCAGGCACAATTTTGTGCAATCAAAAATGGTTATGCCAGCGCTAATCAGCAGAAAGGAAATTAAATCCCCCCCTCTGATATAATGGAGCTGATGCCTCCCTGATGATAATAATTACTCAGCAGATTCTGACAGGGCTAGAGAAAGTGGAATACTGCTTCATTTCCCACAGATATAAAACTAGAATGTCTTCGAGCTGAATCAAACACAACAGTCCTAAAGGAATTGCCATACTGGGGTGATTTTCCGTACATGTGTACAAAGATTGCTGTGTATACAAGCACAATGTCACAGGAGCTAGACTAAATGGATGTCCTTTATTAGGTTTAGACAGATGCTGTGTACCTGGAGACACTAAATGGTGTTTGTATACTAACCAGTAGCCTGTCAATGCATCGATGCTGTGTGTAGGTCTGCATGAGAGTTAACATTTTAGTATACAAATCCTTATGTTTCCTTAGACTTACGGTACAAGATTCACCTTGAGTTACTGATCCTTTGGTAAAAGGCAGAAGCCGAAACATTGGTATGACCTAGAGATTTTGTACTTTTGAGAGTCATGCTAGAATGCTGTAACTGATGAGATTTGTGAGATTTATCTCTTGAAAATAGAAGTATTTCTGTATTCCTTGCTTGTTAGTAAAATCGCTTAATTTCTCAAAGGAAAAAAAAGATGAGCTTTCTTAACAACTTTGCTTTTGTTGATCCAAATGTATTGAGCCTTGAGGGACCAAATGATAAAAAAAGGTGTTATTTTAGGATTGTTTTCCAATCTGTGAATAAATGAATGAAGCAAAAGTGTTTCTAACTTGCTTTATTCCAAGGGAATGGTTGTTAATCATGGCGTGGGAACAGATCCCAGATAAGGTTCCCCGCTCAAGAATCTCATTTCATTTTTCTCTGTTGCTTACTGTATAGGCTCCTATTGATTTCTTGCCTCTCCTTATCAGCCCCGACAAATTAATTGGAAAGAAAAGCCAAATCCAACCTGCGATCTACAAAGGGAAGGTCTCAAATGTCTGATTTCTAAAAACAACAACCTTATAATCTGTCTCACTGAGCTGCGCCTTAAGCTGGCAGGGCCATTATTTTATAATACAGAAGAAATACAGCCATGCTATGGCACTGGCGATAAATAAAAGTAAGAAGGAGCAAAGTGAAGTGTTGGCAAATACAGCATACACACTTGTAAAATATGTCAGAGCTACATGTAAGTGAATTATAATCATATTCCTGTGAATAAAATACTAGCTACTACTATCCACCAATCATAAAATATTCTAAAATCAACATAGAATAGAAAACGAGACTAGCAATAAGAAAAAGGCTTGACTATTAAAAACATTTGGTAGACAGAGCTGAAGTCTGTTTTTTTCTCTGCCCTAAACTACATCATTACATGTAATTTCTCCACACGGAAGAAAACATTTTTTCATAAGAGCAAATGTATTGTCCTCACTGAAATCACTGTCAGTCTACTGATTCAATACACATCATACTGACAGACTGCAGGGTGGACTACACTCATTCAGTGGAGGGTGGGGGACCTCCTGTTCCTCTGGGTGTGTTTCAATGTTTTGCATCATGGTGTGCATTACCTCTATCCCTTTTATTGTCTGTCAGCCAATCGCAGGGCAAAACACCTCAACACTCAGCCAATGGGGAGTGTGTAGAGGGAGCTCCTTCAGTATTGCCGGTACGTTATCATCTGTGCAGTGTGGAAAAAAAACAGTAACATCCTTTCAGGCTGTTCCCCCCCCCTGCGGTGTGAACTGTACTTGATGGGAACTTGAAAGGAACAGGGGTCCAACTAAAAAAATGTGGCTCCAACATGCCTCATGCACAGATTCAGCTAAATATCTTTAACATTTGAAATAAATAAGTATAAATCCAGTCTGGGAACATAGCCTTTTCACAAAAAGATGTAAATAGTACGGATTAAGACATTGTGACAAAATACACATATTGTTCTTTATTCGTTTTTTTGTGTGTTGTGATTGGCCTTTATCAAACAACATTTAGACAGTAGCATGTTACAAGCCTAAGCTTTACAAAGGAGACGGGTCCATGGGCTAGTCGAGGGTCCATGGTGAGTTTGTTCACTTCTTTGTAATAAAAGCAGGATAGAGACAGATATGTGACAGTCATGCTAGAAGTTTTGTGTGAGCAGAGAAAAGATTGTTGTTATTTAACTTTGTGACAGTCATAAAGGTTACAACTCCAAAAAGTGAGTGCCTGTGTGGAAGGCCAGTTTGTCTTAAAACATATTTATTATGAGGGACTGATGCTAAATGACATGTTGTTATGGGTTACAGAAGCAAGGGAAAGACCATCAGATAGAATCAATGGCCCGGTCCCAAAAACCTGTTAAACACTCAGGGACTTAATTAAAGTCACCTGGTAAGTGAAGAGAGGCTGGTATAAATAGGAATAAGACAGCACTTTGCAACAAACCAGGTTACCTTGACAACATCTGAACACGACGTTAATCACCAGAGTAGGATTGGGACTTTTCATTTGATGTGTTTTTTTTTCTTCAAGCACTTTAAGCATCGACTGCTTACCTCTGCTTTACAATGTGACGAAGACATAATTGTCAAATTATCAATTTATTTGTATTTATTAATAATAGTACTGCTTTTGGGCTTCACCTAATAATCCCACAACATCACAACGCTATGAACTCTGTGGGGCAGTTCCCCTACTGCCTAGTAGAAACCTACTCTTACTGAAAGTGTCTATAAAATGTCTCCAACGGCCGATTTGAAAGCCCTTGCAGACTTTACGGTTGAGTTTAGTAATTGGGATAAGGCCAGCGGTTGTACTGTGTGTGTGGACTGGTGTTTTGACTGCAGAGGATCCTTCCCTTCCACTTCTTAGTCTAGCTGCTTTGTAAACGCATGGCTGGTTTTCCGTGTTAGCATGAAAACTGATGTTGATTTTTTGCCACTGGGAGACTCTTGCAGAAAAATACAAGCTGCAAAACACAACACCCCATGAATACAGATGTTACTGAAATGCTTCAGCTGTCATGTTTTTTTTACATTATTACTGCACATATTTTATTCCATTCTATCACATTGTAAATACTGCCATATTTTATTCTACTATATTTTTTATTATTTTTATTTTATTATAGTTTTCTTATAATAGTTCTCGATCTGTGCGTTTTTAAAAATTATTATTATTTTTTACTTTTATGTATGCACCACGACACCTAGTCAAATTCCTCGTACGTGTCAACCTACCTGGTAATAAACCAGTTTCTGATTCTGATGGTGTGTTTAC